AACAACAACAACAACAACAGAAATTCTGCTGAAACTTGTCTACCACGGGTACCCTACTGGTGTTTGAAATACTGCAGGCACACCTTCAAGTATCACAGCAACAGACAAGATTCCACATTATAAAAAAGTGGACAATTGGTGAATATACCACCTTTTTTTTTTGGTAATTTGCTATGACAATCCTAAGAAACCAATATACCTTGATTTCTAACTTACTAATAGACTTCATTGCTTTGGTTTTGTTTGGAGTGTTTTGTGTGTGTGTGCTTTTTAATTGCAAATGAGTATTGAATTTTGTCAAATAATTTTTCACATCAATTGATATGCTCATGTGGACATTCATCTTTTTTGTCAGCCTTCCTAGAAGTTTATTGATTTTATTGCTACCATGTACTATTTCATTTGCCTGGATTGTGCGGTCAGCTACCATGAGTCTTGAGGTCCCAGAGCTCACCTGACCTGATGCTTCCTGTCCCCCATCATCTTCTTCTGTGCTCTATTTCTCCTCTCCCCGACCCCAGTCCTTCACTGACTCCTTGACTGTCTGTGTTCATTAAACAGAAGGATTAAGCTGTGGATGTGGGCTCTCACTCTGGTTAGGTTGGATTCCTGCTTTGCCCCTTAGTTTCCATATCTTTAAATGAGCTTTCAGTGCTTTGGTGGTAGAATTCTGATCTGTGCAGGAGACCTGGATTCAAAATCTCACCCATTGTAAAACATTACTTGAAAATTCTAGAAACAACTTCCTTTCCAGTCATGGTAAAATTATCACCTTTCTGAGTCCTATTGCATTTTCTGGTCTTCATAGAGACAGGATTTGGGAACTATACAGAGAGGAGGAGAAGATCCAGAAAAAGTCTGGACAACAGAGATCCAGAGAGAATGGGACAGAGATCCAGAGAGAAAGGGAAGAAGAAACCCAGATAGAGAACCCAGAGAAAGCAGAAGACAAAGACCCAGAGAGAAAGGGGGGCAGAAACCCAGAGAATGAGGGAGAGGGGGAGAGAGACCCAGAAACAGAGGGGAACAGAGACCCAGAGAGAGAGTGGGGGACAAAGACTCAGAGTGAGTGGGAGATACGGTAGGATATAGGAGATATGGGAGATATCCTAGGGAGATATGGTAGAGAGACCCAGAAAGAGAGGGGAAAGTGACCCAGAGAGAAAGGGGGACAAAGAGCCAGACAGAGGGAGGACAGAAAACCTGAGAGGGAGACAGAGACCCAGAGAGGGACAGGACAGAAACTCTGAGAGATTGTATGTACCAAGATCCAGGGAGAGTGTATACAGAGACCCTGGGGGTGGGGGAGAGAAAAAGAGAGAGAGGGGGAGAACTGAAATCCAAAGGAGGGCACAGAGACTCAGAGAAGGGGACAGAGGACCAGAGAGAGGTGATAGAGACCCAAAGGGGGGGCAAAGTCAGAGAGAGAGGGGACAGAGACCCAGAGAGAAAGAGGAGACAGACCCAGACAGAGAAAGGGACAGACACACAGAGAGTAGGACAGAGACATGCAGAGAGAGGGGGAACAGAGACCCAGAAGGAGTGTGACAGACCCAGGGAGAGAGAGAATAGAGACTCAGAGAGAGGAGACAGAGATCCAGAGAGAGGGTGACAGACTCAGAGAGGGGACAGAGAGAAATGGGGACAGAAATCCTAAGAGAGATAGGGTACACAGATCCAGAGAGAGAGGGGACAGAGACCAAGATAGAGAGGGGGACAGAGACCCAGGATAGAGAGAAAGAGACCCAGAGAGAGAGGTGACAGAAACCCAGAGACAGGGGGGACAGAGACACAGAGAAAGGGGGGGGACAAAAATCCCTTAGAGAGAGGGGGATGGTGACAAAAAGAGAGAGAGAGAAACCCTGAGAGACAGGGGGAACAGAGATCCAGAGACAGTGGGACAGAGAAAGACAGGTGGACAGAGACTCAGAGATGGAGGGTGATAGAGACCCCGAAGGAGAGAGAGAACAGGGACACTCAGAGAGGGAGAGAAAACAGAGACCCAGAGAGAGGAGGAGGGGAGGGAGGGAGGGAGGGAGAGAGAGAGAGAGAGAGAGAGAGAGAGAGAGAGAGAGAGAGAGAGAGAGAGAGAGAGAGAGAGAGAGAGAGAGAGAGAAGGAGGAGGAGGAGGAGGGACTCAGAGAGAGAGTGGAACAGAAACCCAAAAAGAAAGGGAAGAGAGAACCAGAGAGAGAAGAGACAGAGACCCAGAGAGAAGGGGAGACAGACACCCAGAGAGAGGAGGAGACAATGACACAGAGAGAAGGGGGGACAGAGACCCACAATGAGAGGAAGATAGAGACCTGGGGAGAAAGTAGGACAGAGGCCCAGAAAGAGGGAAGGAGACCAT